AAACACCACTTATAGTCATTTCCGTCCAATTCTTTAATAGCATTAGCGTCAAGTATGATTGGACAAATGGAGATGCTGACGTGGCGAGGAGTTTTGACCAATTTTATCTGTAAAAATCCACGTGGATTTAGGGAATGTAAAAAAAAGTATTTATGGAGATATAATGAGAAAAAACTCTAAAATGAAGGATCAAATGTTTTTTTTTACTATACATCCTTCCACTTAGGGATGGCAATTACCCTCCCATGGGTAATTATACTCAAACCCAAGTAGACCCATTGATAATGGATTTGGTATGGGTGAAGTGCATATCGATCTAGGGGTTTGTAAATGGGTTTGGGTAAGGCATGGATATTGCTTTCATAATCTAAATGAGTATGGGTTGGATATGGATATTCATTTACTTGAGGGTATTTTAACTACATATACAAGAATTAGACGTATTTGTAAAACTTGAAAGTTTAGGTACCAAAATGTAAGTCCAAAAAGTTAAGGTACTAATATGTAATTTTCTATTGATATTTTGAGGACTTATATGCACAAAAAAAAATGGGTACTAAATATGCATATCAATAAAGTTTAGGTATCAAACTGTAATTTGCATTTGGCATGGGTCAAAGTCAAATCCATTTGTTAAAAACCCAACCCAACCAAAGTAAATGGATATGGGTACAAACCCATCAAACTCTACCCATATCCTTCTATTTGGGTTTTATACCCAACCTAATCAATTTGGATAGTAAAATACTCATGGGTAGGGACAAAATTGTCCTCCATACTTCCATTTCTTACAGATTAAAAAACGAGGGTAATGTCTATTTTTTATCCAAATCTTTTTCGGATTCTTTTATATTGTCCAAACCTATTAAAATGTTATTAATTAGCCAAATGTTAACACCCAGGTGAGAATTTTGTTAGCAATATTGACTTGGCAACATGATACTGACTTGGAAGAGACACATGAAGGTCAACATTACAAAATTTTAGTATTTTAACTTAGAAAATAGTTACAAAATTATTAACGATAATGTAAAAATGGCTAATATTTTGATCCATTTCGAAATATTTGACTAATTTATAGTATTTTAATAGGTTTGAATAATATAAAAGAATTTGGATAAAAAATAAACATTAACCAAAAAACTAACTAAAAAATAAACTAAAGTAGACGCGTGACTATCCAACTTCCCCTCTTCCACAATCCCTGCCGAGTTCTGCACCAGATCCAATCCAGCGACGAACTCCCTCCGTAGAGTTGTGAAGTGAACGATGACTCAGCAATCCATCCTAGGAGTGGGCATTTGGTCGGTTCGGAACCGACCGAAATAATGCATACCGGATCCCCGAATTTCATCAAACCTCAAACCAAATTCGAACCAAATTTGTGAGATTAGCTTGTATCTTCTCTCTTTTAAATTATTTTTCACCCCTAATGTAAACAATAAATATGCAATTATATGCATCATCAATGATAAAATCAAACATTTCAACACATAAATCATAAAACACTAACATGATTTAGATATTTAAGTCTCATAATAAGTACAAACATAAAATCCACCATTTGGAGATTGTAATTATAGTAATTCGGTTATACGGTTCGGAATTCGAAAATTTGGTTCGATCGAAAAGACCCTGATTTCCGAAATATACCCTTTTTCCATCCGAATTCCGAACCGAATAACATTAATTCGGTTTCGGTTTGATTTATATTAGGTTCAATTTTATCGAACCGTATGCCCACCCATAATCTATCCAAGTCACACGAGAAAGAACCGCCAAGCAATTGGGTCAGAATCCGAATCCGGATACTGAGAACGAGAAAAGATCCATGGCGGAGCAATCAGTGTCTTCTGTATCCTGACCCGGATAGATTCTATTTCAACCAAAGCTCATTTCCTTTCTACAAATACCTTCACCAAATAGTTTTCCCAGTTCACTCATTCACGTCTATGCTTCTCCAAATTAGCTTTACCGCTCAAATCTTTCTAGATCTGTTCAGGGAATCCCCAAGCCGGGGATTCGCCGCCTCGCTTGCAGACATCGAGTGAAGAGGATTAGTAGGCTGATTTACGAGGAGAGTCGCGGCGTTCTCGAGATTTTCTTGGAGAATGTCATCCGCGACGCTGTGGCCTACACCGAGCACGCCAGGCGCAAGACGATGATGGCGATGGAGAGAGATGGCAAACTCCGGCGGGGCGCTTACTGGAGCTCCGGCAGATTATCTGCAATCAATTAATGGCGATGGTGATGGCAATGGGAGGAGAGGAGAGGACAAATATATAGAAAAGAATCAGGGTGGTGGGTTGCTGGATTTTTTCCCAAAATACACACGTTTAAAAAAAATTCTCAAAATACATACGTTTTATGAAAAATTCCCAAACAAGTGTAGATTGAAAATTTTTCATGAAACGTGTGTATTTTGGGATTTTTTTGTGGGTTGTTGGGGCAGAAGAAATGCTTGGAAGCAGAGGAGATTAGGGATATGGAAACAATAAGGGGAAAATGCGTTCTTTTTGTTTATTGGTGTTTATTTTTTATTTAATATTAATTAATATAAAATAAATTACACATAAGCATTTTTTTAGTTGCCATGTCAGCACTTTTGATTTATTTGGCGTTGACGTGTGTGCTGAGTAGCTGCCTAGTCAGTGAACCGTCAAAGAAGTTGACGGTGTTACTAACACCATTAAAGTATCTAATGAAATGACTATATTTGTTTTACAATAACTATAAAATCTGGCTATAATTGGTATTTCTCCAAATTTGGCTATTATTGTTACAAACGCGAAAGTTTTGACTATACAAATGAATTGCGCCTATTTAAAATTATTTATTTATAGCACAAATACCAAATCGAAATATATTTTATCTCATCCACTCCAAATATCGATTCGATATAATTTGATATGGTGTGGATCGGATCAATGCGCACCCCTACGGCCCTACCGGCCTACCCTTCCTTCCGTACACCGATCTATCTCAAAAGTTGTTGCTATGCTTATGGAGACAATTTGCAGACCAGAATTACGCAATTTCTGGCCACGTGTGTGCTAATACTGAACAGAAGAATCCTTGGTTCTGTTAATTTACTAACTTCTATAGGATCTGCAGTTCAGTTCCCAAACATGGGGGATTCCTAGATTCGATTCCAAGAATTGTTGTCCCTAGATGGGCGATTTTTGATAACCATGTAGATATGGAATGAATGAGAACATTTCTTGACCTGGTCCAACATTATTTCTACGGTAATTACATGTGTTGAAGACTTGAAGTACGATAATGGGAGTTGTTCTGCATGAATTGAAAATTTAATTGGTCGATGAATTACATGTCCAAAACATTTCTTGTTCTGCATGATATTAGAGTTCAATTATCCAACTATAGTAAATTTAATCAAATCCAAGTAAAATTATTGATTATGCTAGAGTATGAGTGTGAAGTATATATAGATCTCAATATTTGTTGGATATGCTTGGAAAAGGAATGTGTATTCCTTTTATATTCTAATTGATTGTGAGTTTGTTCATTTTCTTGAGATAGTCTTACTGCACATAAAATTTAATTTGTAAAAAACATAAAATTTAGACGTGTTGTTAAAAAAAGATCAAAAGTTTAGGTATCAAATTATAAAGTAAACCATTGAAGGTACTATAATGTAATTTCATGAATATTTATGAACTTCTTTGCAAAAAATTAGGGTAAATACAATTTTTAGGCACAACTTTTAAGAAGCGCGAAATTATAGCCACAACTATCGAAATACAAATTATTAACCAAACGTTAACTCTCCATTAACAATTTCGTTAATAATGTTGATTAACCTTTTACGATGCTGAGTTGGCTCCCATGTGACAGTCACCATATCATATTTTTATTTTAATTTAAAAAATAAATTATTAAATAATCTAGAAAATGAAAGAGAAAATCTAAAAATTAAAACAAATCTCCCTCTTCTTCTTTCTTCTTCTTCCTACGACTCTCTCCTCGCATGCGCTCTCTCTTCTGGGCAAACCCAAGCCAAAAGAGAAGGAAGTCTTCAACGCCGGTAACCATCTCGTCGCCGATTCTTGATAATCCAGAATGAGGGCCGACCGAATCAGCTCGTCGGAATCAACTCGCCCATCTCGAATGGACCCTCACAGTCCTACACAGTTCTTCTTTCTTGCCCGATTCACCAAAGCAGGTACGGCGGGGACTGATGGAGATATAATTTAGAAATGAACCCATATCATTCTACAGAAGACCATGCCATCACACCATCACCATTATTTCCCTCCACCACTGCTCTGCTCTCGCCAGCTATCCATCTTCAGAGAACCATGTGATAACTTTTACTCTTCTTATCTTCTGCCAACTACACATATAACCATCCACTTATTTCACTGTCTGAATACATGTATATATATAGATAGCTTGTACTATTGTATCAACTCAACATAAACAGATTCCATCAATAGAATTACTCTTTGCATACTTCCACATGGTATCAGAGCACAGAAGCACAAGTGCTCCGATCCCTTAACCTAGCCTCAAATCTCCAAGCCACACAATCTGCTATTTTTCTTACTTCTTCTCCTTCCTTCTCTTCGATAACAGCAACTTCCAAAAAACCCCAACTCACCGACCCAAATAGAAAACAACCACCCAAGCCGGCCGCACATCTCCGACTTCTCCACCGAATTGGGAGATAGATAAAAACAAAACTTTTTTTTAATCCTTCCTCTCTATTAATTACCATGTCTGATTCCCCATCAAACGGCGACGGCTCTGTGGTGCTCCCACTCACCGGCGACGACAATCACGTCGTCTCTCTCAATCCGGCTTCACAGCTCCCCACGAAGTTAAACAAAAATAACTTCCCTCAGTGGCGTGCACAGCTGCTAACTCTTCTTCGTGGTCTGGATTTGCTGTCATTTGTTGATGGCACAAAAACATCACCGGCAGAAGACGCTCCTGGACGCAATCGGTGGTATCGTCAAGATCAATTGATCTTACATGCTATATTGTCCTCTGTATCTGATGTGGTGTCTCCCTATATCTCGGCATCAATCACCGCCCGTCAAGCATACTCCGTTCTTGAGAGAATGTATGCAGGCAATTCTCGATCTCGGATCATTGGTTTGAAGACCCGGCTTGTGCAAGAAAGACAAGGCAATCGTTCTGTCTCTGCTTTTCTCTAGGAGATGAGAACCATATGCACTGAGCTAGCTCTCGTTCAAGCACCAGTTGCTGATGAAGATCTTGTCCTTAACATTTTACGAGGGCTGAACTCTGAATTTGGCCCTCTCGCTGCTGCCCTTCGTGCTCATGAAAACCCGATTGATGTCGAAGATCTCCATGATAGGTTGGTGGAGTTTGAAACTGACCTTGCTGCCAACCGACACTCTCCCACAACAGCCTTTTCTATTCATCGTGGGAGTGGTGGTGTACGAGGAGCAGCGCGTGGCCGTGGCTTCTCTCCTTCCAAGCAGCCCTCTCATCAAAGGCAATTTCAGCACCCTCAACAAACTCTTCATCGACAATTTTATCAAGGACAGTCACCCTCTTCCCTTCAATCAATTCAACACCACCAACAACCGTCCCGTGGCAATATCATTGACTTTATTAGTCATCAACAGAGTGCTGGTCGTGGTGGAAGAGTGAGGATCTTTTGTCAGTTCTGTGACAAACCCGGGCACACTGCAAAAGAGTGCTACAGTCTTCATGGACGCCCTCCTGCTCAAGCTTATCACACCTCTGCTGCTCCTTCCAGTCCCGGTTGGCTAATGGACTCCGCAGCGACCAACCATATCACCCCAGACCTTGGCAATCTTTCTCTTTACACAGACTACAATGGCCCGGATGAGGTTCTTGTCGGCGACGGTACAGGTTTGAAGATAACACACATTGGAAACTCTACTCTCTATGCATCTGCTGCTTCTTTGCAACTAAAGGATGTTCTTTGTGTTCCTGCCATTCAGCAACGTTTACTGTCTGTTGCTAAATTATGTAAAGCTAATCCAGTCTCAGTGGAGTTTTTCTCTGATTGTTTTGTTGTGAAGGACCTGTCCACGGGGGCGCAACTACTCCGAGGCCAGAATAAAGGGGATGTGTACGAGCTGCCACCGGATGTAAAGACCGTCCGCTTAGCACTTGCCACTACTACAACTTCATCGACTGTCTGGCACAATCGACTGGGACATCCACATCCTAGGCTGCTCTCTCGTGTTTTGCGCTCTCAAGCTCTTCCTGTTTCCATTTCTCCAGCTTCCTTTTCTTGTGATTCCTGTTTGGTAAACAAAACTCATAAGCTTCCATTTTCAGTGTCTACTTTAAAAAGTTCAAGACCATTTGATTTGTTATACATGGATGTCTGGGGTCCTTCGCCAATCTGCTCCATTGATAATTTTTCATATTACTTGGTCATCCTTGATCACTTTTCCCGCTACACTTGGCTCTATCCTCTCAAATACAAGTCTGATGTCTCTGACACTTTTATCACTTTCACACGTCTGGTTGAAAACTACTTTCATACTTCTATTCGTCGAGTCTTTACTGATGGTGGAGGTGAATTTCAGAAACTACGATCTTATCTTCAAAATCGAGGCATATCTCATCTTCTTACTGCTCCTCACACCCCGGAGCATAATGGTTTAGCAGAACGCAAACATCGTCATGTTGTTGAAACAGGTCTTACACTCATGCATTGTGCACATCTCCCCAGTTCTTTCTGGTCTCATGCCTTTCAGTCAGCCGTGTACCTTATCAACCGTCTTCCATCTACCTCTCTCCATAATCAGACACCATATTTCACTCTTTTTAATGAGTCTCCAAATTATTTTAAACTCAAGAGTTTTGGATGTCTTTGTTATCCGTGGCTCCGCCCATACACGTCTCATAAATTAGCCCCTCGTTCTCGACCATGTATTTTTCTTGGCTACTCCACGAACCAAAGTGCATATAAATGTTTTGATCCAGTTGATTGTCGTGTCTTTGTTTCTCGACATGTTCAGTTTGTCGAAACTACTTTTCCTGGTCTTCCCCCTAGTTCTGAGTCCTCCTTGTCTTCATCAGAGTGGCTTGCCTCCACCACTCCGACTGTGCAGCTTGTCCCTCTTTCGATTTCCACGGCGCCTCACCCTCCCAGACAGCCAACTACTGAAATAGTCCCCTCTTCATCAACACATTCGGGCATCGCTTCTGCTCCTGCTCGTACACAACCTACATCGCCATCCCCTTCTTCTGCCTCTGAGAAGTTTGCCTCCCCACGGCCAGCTCCTTCACCGCCCACGCCACCATCATCACCTGCTGTCCTCCCGCCGCCCGCAGCTCCACCTCTTCGGATGGTGACTCGCAGTCAACATGGTATTTTCAAGCCTAAAAAGATGTTTACTGCTCAGGTATCTTCTCATTTTGAGCCTACCTCGGTTAAGCAAGCTCTTGCCGATCCTCTTTGGCGTGCCGCCATGCTACAGGAATTGTCCGCCCACACCTCTAATGGCACCTGGTCACTAGTCCCTCCAGCTTCCACTCAAAACCTTGTTGGTTGTCGCTGGATTTTTCGAATAAAGTACAAGGCAGATGGCACCGTTGATCGATATAAGGCTCGATTAGTGGCCAAGGGCTTCAATCAACGTCCAGGCATTGATTTTCATGCTACTTACAGCCCAGTACTTAAACCTGTCACGGTTCGTACAGTGTTCCACATTGCTCTCTCACACCAATGGCCTATCTTCCAGTTTGATGTCAACAATGCCTTTCTCCAAGGCTCTTTAGAAGAGGAAGTCTTCATGGCTCAACCACCAGGGTTTCTCAATACCAAAACCCCTGACTTTGTATGTCGTCTTCATCGTCCTATCTATGGACTTCGACAGGCTCCTCGCTCGTGGTATTTGTCATTGTGCAGTTTTCTTGAGAGAAATGGCTTCGTCAAAACGCAGTCCAATGCGTCCTTATTTGTCTACCATCATGATGGGGTCTTGCTCTACTTCCTTGTCTATGTTGATGATCTTCTTCTCACAGGGAACGATTCTACTTTGCTCAATCGGTTTCAAGAGCATCTTGCCTCTCGCTTCTCACTAAAGCAACTAGGCGAGGTGAATTATTTTTTGGGTATTGAAATCTTATCCGGTCCCTCTGGTTTTCTCCTATCCCAACAGAAGTATATATCCGATGTTCTTGACCGTTTTCAGATGGCTGATGCTAAGCCTTCTCCAACTCCGCTCTCCACATCAGCCAAACTTATGCTTCATGATGGCTCTGCCCTTATTGATGCCACAATTTACAGGCAAGTGCTCGGTGCACTTCAGTACTTACTTTGCACTCGTCCTGATATCGCATTTGCCGTCAACAAACTATCTCAGTTCATGCATGCACCATCCCAACTTCATTGGCAGTCTGTCAAGCGTCTCTTGAGGTATCTACAGGGTACTCGTCAGCTTGCTTTACAGCTTAGACACTCCTCTTCTCTTACACTAGAAGCGTTTGCTGATTCTGATTGGGCCGGAGATCCTAATGATCGCCACTCCACCATGGGCTACCTTATTTATCTTGGAGGTAATCTTGTTTCTTGGAAGTCAAAGAAGCAACGTTCTGTTGCCTGCTCTAGCACCGAGGCTGAATATCGAGCTCTTGCCCATGCCTCCGCTGAACTTGAATGGTTGCAAAATTTATTAATTGAGCTTCATCATCGCCCTCCCAATCCTCCTGTCCTCTATTGTGATAATCTTGGTGCAGTAAACTTCTCTGCAAATCCAGTTTTCCACTCGAGGATGAAGCATTTGGCATTAGACTTCCACTTTGTGAGAGAACTTGTGCAATCTGCTCGCCTGCGCGTTTGTCATGTCTCCACCGTTCATCAGCTAGCCGATGCTCTCACTAAACCGCTTTCAACCCCACGTTATCTTCTTCTTCGATCCAAGATTGGTGTCGTTCCCGCCTCCATCTTGCGGGGGCGTGATAGAGATATAATTTAGAAATGAACCCATATCATTCTACAGAAGACCATGCCATCACACCATCACCATTATTTCCCTCCACCACTGCTCTGCTCTCGCCAGCTATCCATCTTCAGAGAACCATGTGATAACTTTTACTCTTCTTATCTTCTGCCAACTACACATATAACCATCCACTTATTTCACTGTCTGAATACATGTATATATATAGATAGCTTGTACTATTGTATCAACTCAACAGAAACAGATTCCATCAATAGAATTACTCTTTGCATACTTCCACAGGGACTACCCCGATCTTCCTCTGCCTAGATCTCGTCGCCATCGTCGCTAGGACTACCCGCCACCGCAGTAACTACTCTCTCAGCTCTTTCGGTCGCCGCCGATGGAGATAAAAAGAGGGGTTTTGTATCTGGGTGTGATGAGGTTCGTTTGGGGATTTTTGGTTTTCAGGGAAATATTGGGTTTAGTGAGGTTTGGGGATTTCTGGTATAGATTTGGGGGTTTGTCTCTATGGACGAGAGAAGGCCTTCGCTCAGCAAGCGCTGGCACCACATCTCCTTCGCAATCTCGTACCTGGGAAGCCTCTTCTTCGTCGGTCTGCCAGCTGCCCTCCTAGGATTTCTACCCTTTACGCATTCAATCACGACGTGGTGATTCTTCTTCACAACCACCATAATTCCTCCAACCCTCTCGCCAGAACGAGCGGCGGCGGCTGCTGCTATGGGCACATGCTCCATCACTAGTTCTTCAGCCAGCGGTGTCGTGGTGGTGGCCGATGAGGGGATTGGGAACAAATGAGGAAAAGAGAGAGAGAGAGTGGGAGGGAGCGGAGGGAGAGGAATGGTTTTTTGTTGTTTTTATTTTTTTATAATAAAATAAATAAAGAAAAATAATTTATTTTAATGATATCTGACGTGGGTTAGCTCTATGATGCTGATGTGGAACTCTGTTAGCAACATGGTTAATGCTAAAAGCGTTGTTAGCCATTTGTTTACCCGCAACAATAGTTATGACTAACAATTTGTATTTTAATAGTTGTAGTTATAATTTCCTGCAGTTAAATAGTTGTGGCTAATATATTGTATTTACCAAAAAATTAAGTTTAGTTATTAAATGATAAAATATGTTAAGTGTAAGTTCCAACCTGTAGTTTTGATATGGATAGTCAAAATTCAAATGCATAAGTTAAAACCAACCTAAAATGAATATGGGTGTGAACCCATCAAAATCTACCCATTTATGTTATATTTGGGTTTTGCACCCAACTTGATTACCAACGAATTTTAGCAAAATTATCAACCATATATTGCCCCACACACACAAAAAAAAAAAAAAGTTCTTAGATTACAAGCAAGATAAAGATCATGGCACATCACTTAACCCATATTTCAACACTAGTAAATTGTCTAAAACACCAAAAATCACTAGTCCCTACTACTCCTTGCTATGGAAAGTTGTGGAAGCAGTCTAACACACTAATTCATCTGATTTTTCAAACGTATGTTCGTATTTAAAATTTTATTAGTCTTTCTATGTTATTTATATTGTGACTGGCTCAATTACCTAACGATTTTTATCATATATCTACCCATAAGAGTTGGTAGATGAATGCCATAATAAACTTCTAAACTTTTGTCATAATGAAGGTAAAACTAATCACTAATCTAAACCTTGCTAACAATCCTTCATTCACCTTCTCTTTCCACTTACTTTTCCCCCATTTACACTCACTAATTTTAAATTAGAAATCAAGAAAGTAGAACTTAACTTGATCAATTCTATTGTCTACATCAAGCTTAGCATAGTATAGCACTTGTCACTCTTATAATTATTGCCCTGATTATTATCTTCCCACCCAACTTCAAATTCAAAAGAGAGAAAAAAAAAATCCTCGTATTTGAGTCACTAATCAACTAATCGTTTCAATTTTACATTTCCATCATATAAAACTTTTTTCTATTGTTAATTTCCTAATTAATTTCCATCATAAACTTCAAAAACAAACAAAAAATCAGAGAAAAAAGAAAAGAGGAGAAAATAGAAGTATTTGGCGGCAACTAAACCATCACTGACCCACTTCCCAGTTTCCACTTCCCACTCGACTACTCAGCTAAGCTTCCTCGTCACAACTCGGGAGCGGATAGTATAACAACGCTCTTAGTGTTGTTATACTAACAACGAGATTCATTAAGGATAAGAGGGTAAACTAACACAAAATAAAAAAATTAAAATTAAAAAATATATATTTTCAATCACAGCCACACATGCGCCATCTCCCTATGCAGCACGCCGGAGAACTCCCTCTTGAGGTCAGGGGCAGAATAGGTCTCGATGAAGTCGGCGCTGAAGTAGATCTCGTTGGCGCCCGTGTACGCCACGTGGGAGGCGTTGAACTTGTTGCCGAAGAGCTTGACCTGCTGGTACCCTCGTTGGTCGGTGGCGTTGTGCTGGAGGAAGACGTGGTTGAGGACGAAGTCCGCGGCGTAGGACAGTTGGGAACGGGCGTAGTCGGCGCAGGTCCGGCAACCCACGTCACGTGGTTTCGCGTCACAGCTCCAGCGCTGCCGCCGACTTTTACACGGGGTGGAAACTGTTGGGAGCAGCGGGTGAGAATAGCGGGTAAATATATTGCACTAATAAATCACACGCTTGTAAAAAGTTCACATGTAAGTTGGACCTGGTGGCAAAGCCTCCAGAATTACGGTAACCAACTTACTTAGATCAATTTACTTCGGTAATTTAATAGTGCAATATATTATGACTATTCTCAAAATAACAACAAGCATAGACGGTAAGTAAATAACACCGAGGATTTACGTGGTATACCTAATTTTGGGCCAATCCACGAGAGCAGCAAATCCGGAGTATTTCTTCACTATAACAATGGTAGGTTACATAGATTTTCTCTATACAAGAAATAGAACACACGGTGTTTCCCAAACAACCTCACTATTTAACTCACAAGAAAATCTCTTATCTACCCGTAATTGTGAAAACGTTTCACAACCGAAACTACAAGAAAGAAATAGAACTGAGAGCTAGCAAAGAAGAATGATAAAGATGGAAAAATGGGATGGTTTCAGAAGGGAACTAGGCGTCCCTTTTATAGCACAAAATGGAGCGGACATATTCAATTGGAATGGTTGGGGAGCTAATCCATGCACCATCCAACTGCATTTGTTGCCTGCATCTTACCATCATTGTCTTTTTTTTTCTTTTTCTCAATTACCACCGCCAACCTTGTTGGCTGCTTCTCCACCACATGAGGAGGGCACAACAATTCTCCCCCGCCTGACTACATGGACGACGTCGTCATCCCTGTAGCTAATCGAGATAACCCAAACTTTTCTCTTGAAAGAGTCTTGGTACACATGTCAGATCCATTTTCGTCAATATGGATCTTCTCTAGTTGTAACTGCTTCATTTCAAGCACATCTCGTATCTAGTGATATCGAACATCAATATGTTTTGATCGAGCATGAAATGAGGCATTCTTTGCAAGATTGAATAACACTCTGACTGTCACAGAACAGCTGTGGTCGTTCCTGTAGGAACCCAAGTTCATCCAGAAACTTCTTCATCCATATCATCTCCTTGCATGCTTCCGTTACTGCTATATACTCCGCTTCTGTTGTGGAAAGAGCTACACACTTTTGTAGCCTTGACTGCCACGATATTGCTCCCCCTGATAAAGTAATTAGGTACCTAGAAGTAGAGGTGTCAATTGGGCGGGTTGGGTCGGGTTCGGATTGGGTCTAACCGGGTTGGGTTCAATCGGGTTGCGAGTTCAATCGGGTCGGTTTCAATTTGGATCGGCTTTAATTGGGTTACGAGTCAATCAAGTCTCTGGTCAATTGGGTTACGGATCGGTTCGGGTTACGGGTGCATCAAATTACGGGTTTATTGGATTGCGGGTTAATTTGGGTCGGTTTATGGGTTATTCGGGTCAACCCATTGGATCATTTACTTCTTGACAGAAAATAATGTTTTACAAACTATCAATATATGAATATAAATTGTAGGTAATGATACAAAATTTAAGAAAATGATAATATGATAATATTTTACACATATAAATTAAATATCCATTATGTTAGTATAAAAACTAAATATAAATAAAATAGTGTATATAAATGCTTTGTTGTTGGTTATAATTTTTTTGTTTATGGTGAGAGATTGTAACTCACTTATTTTATTAATTTATAAAAAAAATTGAATCACTAAAAATTTGAGAATGAATTAAAACAGGTAGACTATATGCTTATACATCTCGAAATAAATCTTCTTAGTTAAATATAGTATGAACTAGATGTGCATCTCTTCATTTCCATGAAGACTTATCAACATCATTTCGAATCACCCACTTATATATCTTCACAATTTTTTTTAATATTCACGGTAAAAACTCATCCTAAAACTCATGGGTTGAACAACGGTTCGCTCAAATATGATATTATCATCTAGTTCGAATCGTCGATTTATTAATTTATAAAAAATAAATAAAATCAGTAAAAAGTTGATAATGAAGTAAAAAAGAGTAAATTATCCACTTATATATATTGATAGGGATCACTGATTTCATTGATTTTGGGGATTTCATTGATTTTCAAGGGTTGATTTTTTTAATATAATTATGGGTGGTGGAGATACGAATTTGTGTCTAACTCTTCTTATTATCTTAAAAAATTTATCCTTTGAATTTCATAAAATAAAAAATGAATGAAAAGATATTTCACATATTATTATTTTAAAAATTAAACTTTTAAGAAAAAATGTTAATTTATACCATCAATGCTACAAATAATTTTCAATTATTAGGAGAACAACAGTTCTTTCTTGGTAAATTTAAAAATATAATAATGTATGCATTGAATTTTTGTACAAGCATTCGGGTCAAATGGGTTATTCGGGTTATTCGAGTTGGGTTCGGTTCAGTTACGGGTTATTTGGGTTATGAATCATCCGGGTTATAGATGGGTCGGGTTATGGGTTGGATTGGATAACGAGTTCATCGAGTTATGGGTTGATCGGATTACGAGTCAATTGGTTTTGGATTACGGGCGGGCTTCGGGTGGTTGAATTTTTGTCAAATCGGGTTACGGACGGGTTGTGGGTCGGATGGGTTGGGCGGGTTAGTCAGGTCGGGTTCAATTTTGATAGATCTACCCAGAAGTGGACCTCCTTGAATCAACATCACCTGTCATGTCAGCATTTGTATAGCCAACAAGGACAGGTTCACCATCTCCAAAACATAGACTCATTTTGGAGCTACCTCGAAGGTATCTGAGGATCCACTTCACAGCTTCCCAATGTTCCTTTCCTGGTTTGGAAAGAAACCGACTTACAACTCCAACTGCATGAGCGATATCTGGCCTTGTACACACCATGGCGTACATCAAACTTCCCACTGCTGACGCATATAGAATTTTATCCATCTACGCCTTTTCCTTCTCAGTAGACGGGCTCTGTTTGGATGCCAATGTAAAGTGGTTAGCAAGAGGACAGCTAACTTCCTTAGCATTATCCATGTTGAAACGTTGAAGTACTTTCTCAATGTACTTCTCTTGTGACAACCATATCTTCTTGGCACCTCGATCCCGAACGATCCTCACGCCAAGAATCTGCTTTGCTGGTCCCAAGTTTTTCATGGCAAAAGACTTGCTCACTCCTTCTTCAAATCATTGATCTTTGAGACGTTCTGCCCAGCAATTAGCATATCATCCACATAGAGCAATAATATGACGAAATCTCCATCTGAGAATTTCTTCACAAATGGTCTGAAGTAGTCTTCTTGTAACCTTCCTCCCCCATAACAGTCTCAAACTTCCTGTACCACTGCCTTGGCGCCTGCTTCAAGCCATACAAGCTATTACGGAGCCTGCACACATAGTCCTCCTTTTTCTCCTTCTTGAAGCCTTCTGGTTGCTGCATGTAAATCTCTTCCTCCAAATCACTAGTAAGGAAGGTAGTCTTCACATCCATTTGCTCAACCTCCATATTAAGACTTGCTGCTAGTCCCAGCACAGTACGGATGGATGTCATCTTAACCACCGGTGAAAATATCTCGTCAAAGTTAATGCCTTTCCTTTGACTGAAACCTTTCACGACTAGTCTTGCTTTGAAGCGTGGCTGACGGTTGTGTTCATCATGCTTGATCTTGAACACCCAATTGTTCTTCAAAGCTCTCTTGCCTTTCGGCAACTTCACCAGCTCAAATGTCTTGTTCTCATACAAGGAATCCATCTCGTCTTTCATAGCTTCTGTCCACTTCTTCTTGTGTTCGTCATTCGTATCTTCTATGAAGCTCTCTGGTTTTCCCCGTCAGTAAGTGACACATATTCAGTATCAGGATATCTGGTAGAGGGTCGTGTGATCCTACCATATCTCGTTGTTCGAACAGGAGAACCCGCAATGACTGGTGGTTGACCATCTTCATCAGCATCTTTTGGTTGAACCTAAACAAGGGCATCTGGTTCAACTATCTCAGGATGATCATGTTGTACTTCTTCTCCAACTTCTGTAGGCACCGGCGTTGGAGGCACTAGCTCAAGGTTTGGCTGGCTAGCATCGGTACTAGGAACTTCTTTCCTAGCAACAACATCTTAGATAGTCTCATTCTTGATGAACACAGCATAACGACTTCTGATAAGCTTCTACTGGATTGGATCATAGAATCTATAGCCAAACTCATCTTGACCATATCCAATGAATACGCACGGTCGCGTCTTGGAATCCAACTTTGACCTTTCATCCTTTGGAATATGGGCAAAGGCCTTGCAACCAAATACCCGCAAATGTTTGTAGGAAACTTCTTTTCCTGTCCACACCTTCTCTGGGGCGTCATACTTCAGTGGCACACTTGGTGACCTGTTCCTCACATAAACTGATGCGAGCAGTGCCTCACCCCAGAAAGATTGTGGTAGCTTCGAGTGTGATAACAAGCACCTGACTCTCTCTAGCAGGGTCATGTTCATCATTTCAACTAGCCCATTCAATTGTGGCATCTTTGGTGGTATGAATTGCTGCCAAATTCCATGTTCCTTGCAGAAGGTAGCAAATGGACCTCTGTACTCTCGACCATTGTCAGTGCGGATGCACTTCAGCTTCTTGCCAGTTTCCCTCTCCAACAAGGCCAGGAATTGCTTGAAAACATCTATGGCCTGATCCTTGGTTTTCAAGGTATACACCCAGGTCTTCCGTGAATGGTCATCAATGAATGCCAAGAAATATCTGACACCTCCAAGTGATTTGACGTTGACATTGGGTTCATAGAGATCTGAGTGAACTAGATCCAACACGTTCTTTGCTTTTGAAGGGATGGAGCTTTTGAAAGCAACTCTATTTTGCTTTCCCGCCAGGCAATCAGCACACTTCTTTAGATGAACATGATCCAACCCAACTATGAATTTCTTCTGGGCCAACTTCGCCATGGACTTCTCACTCATGTGACTGAGCCGTTTGTGCCACAGTTCAATTGTGTCACCATTCTCCGCTGAGTTGACAATCTCTGAGGAGATCTTGGCTTCTGTCACATACAGTTTTTGATAGCTTCTTGCCCTTTGCCAACATCAAGGAGCCTCTGGTGAGTTTCCACTGGCCATTGTGGAAGGTGTTGCAATAACCTTCCTCATCCAACTTGTCTACAGAGATGAGATTTAGGCAAATTTCTGGAACATGCCTGACATCCTTCCGTAGCAGCTTCGTACCATTCATTGTCTCCAAACAGACTTCTCCTTTTCCGATAACTTTGGAAAGATTACCATTTCCCATTCTTACCACACCGAAGTCACCTAGTGTGTAAGATGAGAAAAATTCTCTCTTGGACGTCACCTGGATGGTAGCACCATTATTAACCACCCGGCTTGTCTCCTAGGTTGTCAGGTTGACAACATCTTCCTCGTAGACAATATTGAACTCATCAACAGAGTTTGCACCATCATCATCACTGTTCTCATCTCGTTTGCCCTTCCTTCTCTCGTTTTTGAACTTTGGGCAAAATCTTTTGATGTGGCCCTTTTCCTTGCAGTGATGACAATGGATGTTGGCAAACTGGTTGAACTTCCCTCGACTCTTGCCTCTTTGCTTCGATCCTCTCACTTCACTTCTTCCCCTGCTTCTAGAATCCACTGCCAAAAGGTTTGACTGGGAAGATGATGAGGATGCAACTTATGATCTTTTCCGCATCTCTTCATTCAGAACTCCGCTTTTGACGATCTCCATGTTGATAATTCCATCTTTCGCAGAGTTGGTAAGTGAAATTTTTAGCGTCTCCCAAGATTCTGGAAGGGAAGCCAGAACGAGGAGAGCGACCACCTCATCTTGCATCTTTATGCCCATACCGGACAACTGATCCAGGATCCCTTGAATTTCGTTCAAGTGATCCGCTAAGGATTTGCCTTCCTTATATTTCATCTGGACCAACTTGGTTAGATAAAATAATTTGTTGTTGCCGGTCTTTGAGTGCCTCCAGCTTGTTCCAAAGAGTTCTGGCATGAGTTTCTCTGCTAATGTGGTTGTATACATTATCGTCGACGAACTGTCGAATGTAGCCACATACTTGCTCATGCTTGAACTCCCATTCCTCTTCAGTTTTGCCATCAGGTTTAGTTGGGCTAAACACCGGCAAATGTAAATCCGTCACGAGTAGGAGATCCTTCATCTCGTTTCTCCATATGTGATAGTTGGAGCCATTCAGACTTATCATCTTGATTGTTTTTGCCACCATTTGGACGTGGCTCTAATACCACTTGTTGGGCGCAACGGGTGAGAATAGCGGGTAAATATATTGCACGAATAAATCACACGCTTGTAAAAAGATCACAGGTAAGTTGGACCTGGTGGCAGAGCCTCCAGAATTACGGTAACCAACTTACTTAGATCAATTTACTTCGGTAATTTAATAATGCAATATACTGCGACTATTCTCAAAATAACAACAAGCATAGACGGTAAGTAAATAACACCGAGGATTTACGTGGTAAAACCATGATTTTGGGCCAATCCACGGGAACAACAACTCCGGAGTATTTCTTCACTATAACAATGGTAGGTTACAGAGATTTTTTCTATATAAGAAATAAAACACATGGTGTTTCCCAAACAACCTCACTATTTCACTCACAAGAAAATCTCCTATCTACACGTGATTGTGAAAACGTTTCACAACCGAAACCACAAGATAGAAATAGAATCGAGAGCTAGCAAAGAAGAATGATAAAGATGGAAAAATGGGATGGTTTCAGAAGGGAACTAGGCGTCCCTTTTATAGCACAAAATGGAGCGGACATATTCAATTAGAATGGTTGGGGAGCTAATCCATGCACCATCCAACTGCATTTGCTGCCTGCATCTTACCATTATTGTTTTTTTTTCTTTTTCTCAATTACCACCGCCAACCTTATTGGCTGCTTCTCCACCGCATGAGGCGGGCACAATAGAAACAGGACAACGGAGTGGAATCCGAATCACCGGAGACAACAGAGGAGATTTCTTCTTCTCCGATTTGCCTTGCATGTTCCTCGCGAGGTCGTCGCCGTTCTCTCCGCTTCGTCAATCCATCGTGGAATATAGCGTCTTCAGGAATTAGTTTATCCATTGCTCTGTCTTTTTCATAAATTTCTCGAAGAAGTTCCAGATTGTGAAGTTGCTTGCCCTGAATTTGATTATAACTTATAAACCTTCTTCTTCTGGATCATAACAAGCCTTCTTCTTCTTCTTGATCAAAAAAATTGCAGAGGACGGAGGAAGAAGGTGGTTTGCAGAGCTGAGGAAGAATGAGAGCTCGTGGATATCATCAATTGGAAAATTACATAATTCAATTACAGATTCGGACTATATAGCAAGGGTAAAATACTAATTGGTACACAAATAAAATAAACATTACAAAGTAATCTAACAACCATATAAAAGTTGTATCAAGGTCCACAAATCGTCACCCTCGGACAACAGTTCTGCAGAAAAAGCACAAACATACATAGTTCTAAAGCACACTAGAAAACTCCTAATACAAATAATAAATGTGATAAAAACATACCAGAAATCTAACAAAGCAAACCATAAAATTTTCAAAAGCACACCAAAAACTACATAATGCAAACCACAAACACGACAAAGCAAACCACAGAACACAAATCTATTAAACCAAATCAGAAACCTCACACACCAAACCATAGAATTTTCAAAAGCAACCAGAAACCTTCTAATGCAAACCACAAAAGCAAACCAGAAACTTAATGCAAACCACAAATCTATTAAAACAAACCAGAAACCTTGCAAAGCAAACCACAAAATTTTCAAAAGAACACCAGAAACCTTGTCATGCAAACCACAAAAGTTTCAAAAGCACGCCATAAACATTCTAATGCAAACCACAAAAACAAACCAGAAACCTCACAATGCAAACCACAAAATTTTTGAAAGCAAACCAGAAATTTCTTAATGCAAATCACAAACACGATAAAGCAAACCACAAAAGGCATACAAAAATATGAGAAACCAAACTATAAATCTCACAATGCATACCATAATACCAGCGCCGATAGACATATTCCGGCCCCGATGACTAGATTCCGACGCCGGTAAGCATATTCCGACGACAAAAAGCATATTCTGGTGACCGGCGACCAGTTTCCGCGACCGGTGGCCGAATTCTGACGACCAAAATTTTGGGCAGAATATAAAACATTTTTTTTATCTTTTAAACATTTTTTTTATTATTTTTTATTTTTTAAACATATTTTTCATAATGACAATTATATCTCAGCTTTAATTTTACATTAGGTCAAACTAATAAAAAGTCATCACAACTATAACTTCCTATTGATTGGAAGCTAGTGTTCTTACAATAACAACCCAAAAAGTCTTGTCACAATATCTAGTCGCTCACAAGTCACGGCTCGCATAATAACAGAAAAGCGCGTGCACGCCAAACGTTCTCCATGGCGCGTCTAAACAAACCCCATTGCGTAAACCAATGCCTCAATTCTCTCTTCTCTCTTACAAAAGAAGCCATTCCTCCACCTCACTTCTTCTTCTTCTTCCTCTGCTCTCTCCCACTCTGTTTTCTTCTTCTCACTTGAACCTCTTTCGCCAATTGAATTCGAATACCAAGTTCCCAACAAACCAGCTTTCCTATCTGTTACAACAAGCTATGAGTAATGGGCTTTCTCCGGCGAATATTCGGACCGAAGAAACAGAGCAACTCTACTTCTTCCAAGGAGAAGAACAAAAGGTGGAGCTTTGGTAGATCTCCACGCCCTCTCCCGCCCTCGAAGAACAACGACTCTTCATACGACGACGGATTGGACGCCAACAAGCATGCCATCGCTGTGGCCGCGGCCACCGCCGCCGTGGCAGAGGCTGCTCTGGCTGCGGCCCAGGCTGCTGCAGAGGTTGTCAGGCTGACAAGTGGCAGCAACGGAGGAGGGAGAAGTGTGGCCTCGCCGCAGGTGGCCGGGAGCCACCGCCGGTACGCGGAGGCGGTTGCTGCGGTCACAATACAGTCCGCATTCCGCAGCTATCTGGTTAGTCTTCATCTCATCTAATCCATTTACTAGCTCCATTATTATAGATTGAATTCGTTAATGGCTTTGGTGATTGCCAAATTGCCCACGGAATTGAAGGTTTTTCCTGAAAGGGGATTACTAGAAAGTTGAATTTGGAAGGAAATACGAACAGGGGATGGGAATTGGGTGCTCGAACATGATAAGGGTCCTTTTCTATCCTTTGTGTCAAAAAGCTGCCTTTTTTTGAAATTTTATGACGAAATTGGCAAATACTTTTCGCAAGACTTCGACGTTGGTGACACCATCTTACCTTTTCCTACAACAGGCCTCTAATTTAGTGCCCGTCGTCGTCAATCCTCCCTCTCGTCAAAAACAGGGGACGGCCTGTAAATTGAAAATTGCATATTCAACCGCTTCAACTTTTCTCCCTAACAGTAGGAATATCATACAATACGTTTAAATTCGTACCACCAAACCGCTATTATTCTTTAATTTGGTGGAGATAACGCTGGAACTCTGACTTCATTCTGCAATTTGTCTCCTTATGAAGGTCTAGACAAAGTCAGATTAGGTGTTTGGAGTTGTTAAAACAGAGCTTTCACCAAACCAAGCTTTGATTCTTTTCACTTCCAGCTCCTTAGTTAATATCTTTCAGGGAGCTGATTAGCAACGTACAAAGCTGAGTGACCCACGCTTCTCTGTTTGCTTCCTGGTGTTCTTTTCTGGGTGGGGAAATTGACTGTACAGACTCGGTTTGATCTGGACCCAAGAAACTTATCGCTCGTTTATTTTGTTGGTTTTTGGTGGTCCAAACCAAACCCTAAACCCAAACAAGAGAACAATTCCGCGGCTAGTATGTGGCGCCGACACGGCGACACCTAGGGTTCAATTGGAAGAAGATCTCGCCACAGATTTCTAATGACATCGGCATAGACCCAGTTGCGGAGAAGGGGGCTCTGCCTCTCCTTTGATATCAATTGTCAACCTTAGCATTCAATATTCGTATAAGTCCAAATGGCAATAGAGAAGAGAAATGAATAAACATACGCAATAAAGTTGACAGCTTTTCTTTCTCAACCCATTATCCTCTGTTTCTCTTCCCTTTCACCCCACTTTGGCAGTGGTAGTACTGGTAATGGTGGTGGGGATGGGTTGGTTTTTGTTATTGACCAGTGGTGAAAGAGGCAGTCAGAGTCGTCGCTTCTTCTTTGGGTCACAAGAGCGCGAGTCTCTTCTTGTACAATCGTCCTTTTTCCAGTCTCTGCTACTGCTGCGCTGTCCAAATCTTTTTACCCTGCTGCTGGAAGAATCTTGCGAGCTATTAAGAAAATTTGTGTTCTTTCTGCTGTCCTTTTCTTCTTCTGTCCCCACTCCCTGAAACTGTCAATGGAGATATAATTTCCCCGTGAGAGAAGCCTCTGCTGGTGGTTGTTGCCATTAAGAGAATAGGGTTTCTGTATATATTATTATATTCCGTACTAGTTTGGTCCAAAACGCTTATTATATTCCTCCTCTTTTGGCTCCATTACCAAAGACTTGACTCTGAAGTTATGAACTTTGCCTCCTCCCTCGGTACTGTATCTGCGCTATGTCTTTAATCAAACTCAGCATTGGGCTGTGTTGCTGGTGTCACATGACTTCACATTTGATGCACAGTTTCCCTTTTCCTTTTGGTTCTGGGCAGGCAAGGAGAGCTCTAAGGGCACTGAAATCCCTGGTCAAACTGCAGGCGTTGGTGAGAGGCCACATTGTGAGGAAGCAAACAGCTGATATGCTCCGGCGAATGCAGACTCTAGTGAGAGTCCAGACCAGAGCTCGAGCTAATCGATCGCTTTCCTCCGAACAACCGTACCATTCTCCCACCAAGTTCGCCCATTTCGGCAGAAGCTATACTGTAAGCCATTGCTGTTATTATTATGACCTAGCATCATTAATCAAATGGTTTGACATGAGCATCTATGATACTTGATATAAATTTGGGTTCCATTTATGAAGGAAAGGACCACAGGCCACTAGGCCTGCCTTATTCACCTAAATGATAGGCTGAAAGTGACATTTTTGAAGAAGCAGCATTGCTAGGAAATGTTTAGAATTTGTATGAAAGGAGAATTTATTGACCTTTAGCATACAGCAATTGGGATGACAGCAGCTTTTTTGTAACTACTTTCTCACCTGCAGGCAGCTGGAAGCCCTCAGAAGGACCACTTGCATCAACCTTATAGTATTGGTGCTAAAGTCGATGGCCCCTCGGTTCTCAAGGTAATTCAATCAATGACCCTTCTCTCAAAGAACCTTTTGTTGCTGCACTGATCAATCTTAGCTGTAAATGCAAGTTTTAGCTGTAAAAGCTCCCTACCTAACACTTGAATGTGTTGCAAGCAGAGATGCAGTTCGAATTCAAACATTGGGGACGTTACTGATCTCGAGAAGGGGAGAAAACTCGGTTCTTCGAATTCGAATTGGCTAGAGCGATGGATGGAAGAGAGTCTACGGAACAACAACAACAACAACCATGTTCGCTCCCCGTTGAAGAATCGACCTTCTGATGATGACAAGATGGACAAGATACTCGAAGTGGACACATGGAAGCCACACAACATGAATTCCCACAGGACAAGCCACAGGCCCTTCGATTCCCCAACAAAGTCGTCGACAACAAGACCAATGAACTGGCCTTCCAACTCTGCAAGAGTGCTACTGTCGTCGAAAGATGAAGCAGTTCTTATGGCTAATGAGTACAACAACAGCCCATATGCATCGTCTAGACCAGGAAGCAGTGGCCGAAAGGGTGGTCCATTCACGCCCGCGAGGAGCGAGTCCTCGTGGGGCTACTTCAATGGCTACACAAGCCACCCCAACTACATGGCCAACACCGAATCGTCGATCGCAAGGTTGAGATCGCAGAGTGCCCCTAGGCAGAGGGAAGTGGAGTTTGACAGACATGGTTGGAGCAAAAGATCGTTGAAGGATGGTGTTTATGATTCTGGGGATACCGTTTCGGAATGTGGGTTTGGTCAGCAGCAGCAGCAGCATATGGAGTGTAGGAACAAGGGTCATCATCTTCTGGGTCCTGGTAGACTCAGTAGAATAGGAAGCACCCGTTTCAGATCATAATCCATAATTACATGGTGTTAATTTGCAGCTTTTGTTTGTTTGTTTGTTTTTAGTTCTGTGAGAGTGCAGTGTGGCAACTTTGCCCTTCTGTTTGTAAATTTGTTGACCATGATCTCACCCATATGTGTCCTTACAAGAGTTTGTAACCTTTGTCCATTTTTTAACAGTCTTGTTGTGTGAAATTCAGAAAATCTGTAACTGTTCTGTAGTGTTCAAAGAGAAAGTGTAGTAGTTCTATGTAAAAACTTCATCCAATCATCTATCTATCTTTCCTTCCACTGTTACAGTGGCACTGTGACCTCACGAGTGGGTAATAGCCGTTAAAGCCCCTCATAAATGCCAGAGAACGACCCTTTTGTCTGAACCTTACTACCTTAGAATGCATTAAAAACAAGAGTGACAAATAGAATTGCAATGAAAGAGATTTGTCTGGGAAGGAACAGCTCCCATTTTGCTTACACATGGAGTCAAAAAGATTGGAACTTTGGATACCCACAAAACGCCAATGATGGGCAGAGTGCAAAGAATGTTTTGAAGTGAACACAAAATCTCAGTAACATGTCTTGTCTCTGATTTGTTTGTCTGCACTACCAAAAGAATGAAGAAAGACGGTAGTTAGTGGTGACGGGTTTGTCTCTACTCGACGAATTACAGTTGTTGGCATGGCATTGTGGCAGATCTCGAGGGAAAGGCAGTGTGTTAAGTGTAAACATAGATCATAATAGCATGGATCTTAGAATTAGATGATTTCACGAATCGATAATAGATCGGGGAAACCTACCTCGATCCATGACGAGAGCGGCGGCGCCGCTGGAGTAGTAATCACCGGAATTGAGTTTCTCCCTCTTGACCCCTTTAGGTTTTAGGTTTAGAGATTTCTGTGATGGCTAAGAAATTCTACGTAATGGGTTGAGAGAGGACCAATCCTAGAGCTTCTTTATATAGACCCACCATCAGGGCATATTAGGAATTTACCTTTCATTAACCTAATCAATATAGGATTTACCTTACATATTAAATCATTAAGTGATAATTACACTTGGGCCACAATTATTCCCTACGGGAATTGGCTTACATTCTCCCACTTGGTCCATGTGTCATTATATATCACAAGATCTAATAATAAACATAAGTGTACACATCATAAGATAAATCCATAATATTTGGTTCACCATAAAGTCATAATCAAGTATGAAAGCTAGATTAGGATCATGGCGGTTCTGCATCAATTTATCGACATAGTCCCTTCCATGTACCACTAAACCAGTCTCATGCTCAATATGACACATAACAAGGTAGTCATAATGGTCCAACAATAATGTCTTCACTAAAGACAAAATCTTGTTTTGTTCACATAATGCATAATGTATATATACTGGTCATAATTAATAAAACAAGATTCATAACTTTATTCCAGAAATAAAATAAATGAGCTCAAAGTGTCGATCCATGAAACATAAAATAACTTTAGTCATGACGTCCTATAATCCCTATCCTTTCGACATGTTCAGTAAATGTCTTAGGAGGCAATCCTTTTGTTAATGGATCAGCAATCATAAGCTGTGTGCTAATATGCTTGATCGACACCCTTTGTTTCTGAACTTCTTCCTTAACGACAAAGTATTTCACCTCCATATGCTTAGCACCCTTCGAATACTTGTCATTCTTAGAGAAGAATACCGGTGCGGAATTATCACAGTAAATTTTCAGCGGCTTGGCGATAGTGTCGACAATTCCAAGTCCAGAAATAAAATTCCGCAGCCATAAACCATGATTTGTAGCTTCATAACAAGCTATGAATTCAGCTTCCATAGTGGATGTGGCAATAACAGACTGCTTCGCACTCTTCCATGAAATTGCCCCTCCGGCTAGAAGGAACAAATAGCCAAAAGTAGACTTCCTGGTGTCTACACATCCAGCATAATTTGAATCTGAATATCCAATCACCTCAAGGTGATCAGATCTCCTAAAGGTGAGCATGTGGTCTTTTGTTCCTTGCAGATACCTTAGTACCTTCTTTGCAGCTTTCCAATGATCTACTCCTGGATTACTTTGATACCTGCCCAGCATTCCGACAGCAAAACTGATGTCTGGTCTGGTACAAGTTTGTGCATAATTCAAACTTCCAACAATAGATTCATAAGGAATGTGTTTCATTCGCTTGCGTTCCAATTCATTCTTTGGACATTGTTTGAGACTAAATTTATCTCCCTTCTGAATTGGAACGACATTTGCAGAGCATTCAACCATGTTGTATCTCTTTAGGATCCGGTTAATGTATGATTTCTGAGACAATCCCAACAGTCCTTGTGATCTATCACGAAATATTTCCATTCCAATCACATAGGATGCCTCACCCAAATCCTTCATTTCAAAGTTCTTAGAGAGAAACTCCTTGGTTTGATGTAATAAACCAAGATCATTTGTAGCAAGCAAGATATCGTTAACATACAAAACTAAAATTATAAACTTACTCCCACTAATCTTCAGATATATACATCGATCGACGATGTTCTCCTTAAATACAAAAGATGTAATGGTATCATTGAACTTAATATACCATTGTCAGGAAGCTTGTTTAAGTCCGTATATTGACTTCTTTAATTTACACACCATATGTTCTTTTCCCTCAACCACAAAACCTTCAGGTTGATCCATATAGCCTGCTTCATCTAAATTCCCATTCAGAAAGGCGGTTTTCACATCCATCTTATGGAGCTCTAGATTATAATGAGCTACCATTGCCATGACAATCCTTAAAGAGTCTTTCTTAGAGACGGGTGAAAATGTCTCTTTATAGTCAACACCACTTTTCTGAGTGAAACCTTTGGCAACAAGTCTGGCCCTGTGTCTTTCGATATTGCCATAAGATTCGTGTTTGGTCTTCCAGACCCATCTATTACCAACTCTTTTACAACCTTCAGGCAAATCAACAAGGTCCCAAACTTCATTTTTATACATAGATTTTATCTCTTCTTTCGCGGCAGTTAACCATTAATCAGAATGCTCACTTTCCATGGCTTGTGAAAATGAAACTGGATCATGATAGAGTCCTAAATCAGATTCTAACTCGTGAAGATAAACCTCATAATCATCAGAAATTGCAGGCCTTCGATTTCTTGTAGACCTTCTTAATGCGATTTCATGTGGTTCATCTATGTTAGGTTCATTCTCAATAGCAATATTAGGTGGTGCTTGACCGTTCATTTGTTGTTCCTGCAAATCGTTATCATGCTCAACATGTGCAGGAGCAACAACTTGAGAAGAGGGTAGAGGTAAAGATATTTGCACTCTAACTTCTTGAATTTCCACATTGCGTGGCTCTAAGCTCCCACTAACTTCACCATTCTCAATGAACCTAGCATTTCCAGTTTTAACAATTCTCGTACTATTGTTAGGGCAATAAAATCGATACCCCTTAGATTTTTCTGGATAACCAATGAAGAAACCACTGATTGTTCGTGAGTCCAGTTTCTTTTCATGTGGATTATATATTCTCACTTCCGCTGGGCAACCCCAAACATGCAGGTGCCTTAAACTGGGTTTCCTTCCCGTCCACAACTCAAAAGGTGTCTTAGGAACTGCTTTACTAGGAACCCTGTTTAACAAATACACAGCGGTCCTTAAAGCGTGCATCCACAATGATTTGGGTAAAGATGAGTTGCTTAACATACTCCTAACCATATCCATTAAAGTACGATTCCGCCTTTCTGCAACACCATTTTGTTGTGATGTTCCTGGCATAGTGTATTGAGCACAAATACCACGTCTTTCTAGGAACTTAGCAAATGGACCAGGGCACTGTCCACTTTCATCATATTTTCCATAATATTCTCCACCTCTATCAGATCTGACAATTTTCACCTTTCTTTCTAATTGCCTCTCAACTTCATTGATAAACACCTCAAGGGTATCTACCGATTGAGATTTTTCATGCAGCAAATAGATATATCCATAACGTGAAAAATCATCGATAAAGGTAATGAAATACTTTTCTCCACCAAGTGATGGAACATCAAAAGGCCCACAAATATCAGTGTGTATAATTTCAAGGAGCTGTGAGCTTCTTGTGGCTGCTTTCTTAAGTGTGTGTTTTGTGTGTTTTCCTTTAATACACTCAACACAAATTCCAAGATCAGTAAAATCCAAATGAGGAAGGATTTCATTCTTTACTAGCCTTTCCATTCTTTCTTTGGATATGTGACCCAAACGTTTATGCCACAAGTAAGCAGAGGATTCATCAAACAAATCATGTTTAATACCAACATTATGATGCAAGGTTAAGAGAGTCTCAGCGAATAGGGTATCAAGCTTTAGTTTGTACAAACCATCAACAAGGGTACCAGAACCCAATAAAACATTCTGTTTGAACAAACTAATAGAACCATTTCCAATGTTCCAAAAATACCCAGCCTTATCTAGTTGAGACACCGAAACCAAATTACGAGAAATAGAAGGAGCATAAAGGGTATTGACAAGGTCCAAATGATGACCAGTATCTAAAACCAAACGATAAGTCCCAATAGCTTCAACTGGAACTTTGGCTCGGTTTCCCATATAGATGAACTCCTCATTTTGCCTTATGGTTTGGGTCGTAAGGAATCCCTACATCGTTTTGGAAACATGAATGGTACAACCAGTGTCAACCCACCAAGTATTATAAGGAACCTCAGTTAAATTTGATTCGAAACATACTCAAGCACTGGGCTTATCCTTTCTTTCGAACCATGCCTTTCTTTTCAAGCAATCTTTCTGATAATGTCCGGCTTTCTTACAGAAGCGACATATATCCTTACTTGGTTCCTTCTTGTGGATTTTGGCAGATGACTCATTAAGCTTTGATAGTCCTTCCTTGCCCTTTCCATTCTTGTTCCATGGTTTCTTTCCAGCTCCTTTATGACCAACAAGATTGGCAGAATGATTTCCTGGTTTCTTAAGCTTTGCTTCCTCTTGAATGAGCATGCTTTGTAACTCATGCACATTCCATTTATCCTTTAGAGTATTGTAATGCACATGGAATGTGCCATACTCTGGAGGTAAGGAATTAAGGATGAACGTTACTAGGAAATTTTCATTCACTTCCATTCCCATGGTCTTTAGTCTTGCTGCAATTTTTGTCATTTCGACGATATGCTCATGCATGGTACTAGAACCATCAAACTTCATGGTGGTTAGCGTACCCATCAGTGTCCCAGCAAGCGACTTATCAGCAGACTCAGATTGAGAGCTTTCTTTCACGAAATTCATAAATTCCTTAGCACTTTCAGTATCATTGAAAGTTGACTTAATGTTGTTTGCTACAGTCATTCACATAAACATTAGGCTTAGTCTGTTAGATCTTTCCCAAGCCTTATGGAAAGATTTTTCCTCAGCACTGCTAGCATCAGTAAGAGCAGCAGGTTTCTCACTTAAGAGTGCCAAATCAAGATCCAGAACACCGAGGTGAAACTGAACCTGTTCAGCCCATTCAGAGAAGTTGAGGCCATTAAACTTAACAACAGACGTGGCTTGCGAATGAAGAGAAACAGGAACAGATGCTGCAAACATATATAACATGTACTCACACATTAATGCTTTGGGTAATAAGCATAAACTATAATACAGATTCGGGAACATAAACATAAAACATATATTGGTGCTACCTTTGGGCAAAACAACAATATATATGCGATAAATAATCGTAATTGATGCTCAAAATAATCATATGATTGGTGATAGACATACTCAAATTAGATATACTTGCAATCTTTGGATATACTAAATATATCTAACCAAGCACATCAATTTACCACGATAATGTTCATGAGTTATAAAACGAGCAATCAACCTTTGGGTGATTCAAAATATTTTATAATCACGAACTTCAACTTTAAAGCATCACATAAACATTAGTAGTTGAACTTGATTCAACTTGATATCTATAAACCTTTTAATTTGGCCACTTTGGTGACTAACAAATTAATCATAACATAGATATCAAAGATAAAATTTAACTCAAGTCAAAGCAATTGTTAATCATAGTTCTCAAATACACATACACAAAACTTGACTCATTAATAGGTTACTATTATAATAATTGCTTAACTGATCAACCATTGAGCCTACTGATCAAATTCATTATCAAGGAAACTCAAACATATTATAGCCGAAGCCAATAGATAGCAACAAGAAAGAACTGATGGAATTTGATCAAGCATATATAATTGCACCCACAGAAGCAAGACCTTGTCAATAAATGACAAAGCAAATGAATTGGAAATTGACAAACAGTAGCTAAATCAATAAAATACAAATTCTCCATCCCCTCGATACAAAAGGTACAAACAGTAGCTTAATCAATAAAATTGACAAAGTAGATGAATTGGAAATTGACAAACAGGTACCTGGACAAAAGGTACAAATAAAAGGAAAAGGAAGATTGGAAACCTAAACCCTACAGCCAAAGCATAATGGCGAATTGACTTGGAAACCCTACAGCCGAAGCATAATGGCTCTCATACGCAGAGCTTGGCGCACAGATGCAGCGAAAATAAAATACGTAAGCGAAAATCATCTATTCATGTAAACCAGGCTCTGATACCACATGTAAACATAGATCATAATAGCATGGGTCTTAGAATTAGATGATTTCACGAATCGATAATAGATCGGGGAAACCTACCTCGATCCATGACGAGAGCGGCGGCGCCGCTGGAGTAGTAATCACCGGAATTGAGTTTCTCCCTCTTGACCCCTTTAGGTTTTAGGTTTAGAGATTTCTGTGATGGCTAAGAAATTCTACGTAATGGGTTGAGAGAGGACCAATCCTAGAGCTTCTTTATATAGACCCACCATCAGGGCATATTAGGAATTTACCTTTCATTAACCTAATCAATATAGGATTTACCTTACATATTAAATCATTAAGTGATAATTACACTTGGGCCACAATTATTCCCTAGTGACCTACGGGAATTGGCTTACATTAAGCAGCTGGAAGAAAAGAAGTGGCATTCATGCATACATCACCGGAAAGCAAAATCTTAATCCCCCATCTCTATTCATTGAACAGGATTCTTGTACTATAATGCTGTTTTTTGAAAATTGAGAAAGTTATGCCAAAGGAAAGATACTGGTGTTTCGTTCATGGCCACGGGCAGAAGCAGGGGAATGCTTAAGAAGGGGAGAATAGACTGCCAGATTCGTTCATGGCTTCCACTGACATATAATATATAATATTTTACCAAGGTTATCAACAAGTGGTTTCGTGGTGTAGTTGGTTATCACGTCAGTCTAACACACTGAAGGTCTCCGGTTCGAACCCGGGCGAAGCCAAATAGAATTTTTTTTTTCTCAGTTGTGTTTCTCTTTGGTTTCATTTTCTGCCACACAGTGTTTCTCTTTGGTTTCATTTTCTGCCACACAGCCCAGAACAATCTTTCTTTTTGTTTTCCCTGCTTTCATTTTCAGCCACACAACCCAGAACAATCAGATTTACAGAGAGGTAGAATCACAGCTATATATATATATATATATACTGTATGAAGGCAAGAAGATGCCATAAATACCATTTTTTTACTCCCTATGTTACAGCTCTGCATTTACAATAAAATTGTGGAAGAAAACCTTATGGCCGGCCTCCTATGAACATATTCCCATAACTGCTTAAGAAAAAGTTTCTAACTCTGTGGTATACAGCCCATCACTTAGAAGGTATCACATTTCCATTTCGATGTCGGGATGCAGCTCAGGTACTTGCACCAATGGCATGATTCATGGCCGTTCACTCCTCGGAATAGCATAACCAGCGCCACCGTGAACCTGCAACCAAACCATACTCGAGGGTTGATATGATCTTCACAACAGTAATGATAATGGCATTTATAGAAAACAACCAGGAGGAAACATGGGACTGACCCTGCAATGAGGAGAGCCAGAGAAACAACCCAGAGGACGTATTGGTAGGGCTTGTACTTGGATTTGAAGCCAGCACCAGCAGGCAGATTCCGACGCTCCAACCAGGCAAACTGTGGGCGAGGAAGCAAGACGAAACCAAGTAGGAAACCAGACAGAAACCCTCCAATGTGTGCGAAATTGTCAACGTGCGGCAGAATACCAATGGCCAAGTTGATTGCTATGATCACAAAAAGAGTAACCAGCGCTGCAGCCTACATTCACCAATGGATGCAATCACAAAAATTAGGAAGCAGACCATTTTATGAATATGATCATCAGTTCCATCACAAAGAAAGGTTTGAAGTTTGAACTGTGTAACCTTGTTGGTGTAGATTGTCCAATTGGTGATGAGTTCTGACAGCATTGCTCCCAGTAGGCCAAATAGAGCACCCGATGCTCCAACAGCAATACCAGCTCTGAGAAATAGTGAAGAGAGGACACTCCCTCCAAATCCTGACACCAGATAAATGATCCCAACTCGAGCTGCGGCACAACCCACCATAATCTAGGAATCAGCTTATAAACACAGTCAAGCTGTAGCGTAAAAATTCGAAACTAGACAACTACCAAATCCGAATTGCTGCTCTAGACGAACACCGATGACGACCAAGCACAGCATATTGGCAATGAGATGGATTATGCCGGCATGTAGCCACATACAAGTCACAAGCCTCCACCCTTCACGTTTCTCCACAATTTTCGCCCATTGTAGAGCTCCCAACTTCTCCAGCCTATTCCCACCCCATAAGAAACCAAATGAGGCATCATCAGTAATCCTAATTGTACTCAATTGTACTCAAGCATCGATTCTACACACACCTAGACTCCAAAAACTTAATCAAAAGCAAAATGCCTCAAGCATCGATTCTCTCTACTCTTAAAACAGAATTTGCTCTTCAGCAATATAATCCCAATACTAATTCTTCAATCTTCAGCTAATAGCAGCTACTACAAGCAAGAAACCCAAGAAATTGGGATTCAAGAAAAGTTTTAACTAAAATTAGGCATACGTACGTGGCAGAGGAAGGGCCAAAGAGTGGGTTATCTCTAATTGGCTCGAAGGAGAATCTCCCAAGGAATCCGGCGACGCAGCTACCTTCCGCCCGCGAGTGGTACTGCTTCGGGCAGTCGTTGATGTACATGGCGACCAAGAAAACGGCGATGTTGGCAATGACGAACATCGGGACCAACCACGACGTCCACTGGGTCCCCGTCTCTTCGATCAAATACGGCGCCGACGTGGATGAGTACCCATTCCCGGCGGGGCTTCCTCTTCCTCCTCCGCCACCGCTCTTAATCCCCCTGCCTCCACCGCCCCCAACTTCCAAATCACCGCCGCGGGCCATGCTTAGCTTGTTCTTAGGACAGACAGTAGTCTCTGTATTATTTGGAGAAAGGGGGGGAGATAACGCGTTTTGAGGGTTTTCGGGTAGGGTTGGGAATCCGGAAAGGTAGAGGAGTTGGTGACGGGCTTTAATGGAGCTGTTTTGATCTCTCTGGTGAGTGGCGAGAGAAGAAAGAGGGAAAGTGTAATTTTCCAGGTTCTTCTTCAAACAGAGGGAATATTTATGATTTATCGGAATCCTTTTCGTAATCCGGCGCGGAATGGGATTCGGCCAGGTGGAGTACTTTGTCTTTTTGTTACTGATGTGGCGCGAGCCCAACCGTGGCCCTTTGTGATTGTAGGTGGATTGGGCCGTAGGTGAGCCCATGGTGTGTACTCTGTAGTGACAGCTATGTGAAATAGGCCATCTAATTCCACGATTTCATTATATATTATTTTTAATTTGGTTAATAGCATTTTGTATTGTAATCCTCTACTACGTTAAATTTAAAGTACTCAATTATTAAATATTGCATATACAATATTAAAAAGTAACAAGTTTATCCTTCCATCCGATTATTTGATAAGTGGTCATTAAAGGAGTTGTAAAATTACTCAATTGCCCTTCATAACACTCATAATTACGATTTCAGTGATTTTTTTCCCAAATCAATTAATTTAAAAAATAAAATCCCCAAACTAATTCGCACGCACAGAAATCGTATGTGTCACCTTGGTGATTAGTCATCATATTTTCTAACGGCATTACATACTAACCATTGACTTCTAAAGGTGAAGAATAAATAATATTTTTGGACTATGATTATCGATTACTATGCTATGTAATCTCCATTAGATATTGGAATGCAAATTATAAACTATTAATTGTTCGAAGTCACAAAATGCGTAAGTTTTCTCTAACAAATTCACATGAGAAAAATGATATACAGATTCCCATGAGACAAAGTGTGAAGTGTCTAAAATTATACAAGCTTGTTAGTTTGTGAGGAACTTATCATAAATGTTAGTCAAAATTCTCTGGTATGTATAAGGAAGATACCTAAGAAAGGAACGAATAATTTGAAAGAAATTGGTCTGATATAGATTAATCGTTCTCTAGTCTACACATAATATAATACACCGAAGGGAAAAACGGGAGCCCCATTTCAAATTTCCTGCAACGAGAGTGAAAGTAGGAAGGACATTTTTGTCTTCACACTTACTTTTTTTAATTCATTAAAAAGACACGTAGTGGGATTCGAACCATGACCATTTTAAGGAAAAGTAAGAATCATAACCAATCACACTAAGTACATTTGTTGCATCTTTTTAAATTAAAAAGATATAATAGCAGAGAGGAAAAAACCCTTCCCCCATTTCAAATTTCCTGCTCCAGGAGCGTTTGTAGGAATGATAGAATAGGGAGTGTCAATTTTTTCCTTTTTCCTCTTTGGAACGGGCCAACTTACCGTACACATGCGGATTTAAAAGGGTTTAAGAGTGTCAATTTTTTCATTAAGCCCTTTTATTTCTCCGTGGTGATAAAATATATATGAAGAGGCAAAAACAATACTTCTTTTTATTGCTAAAAATAAAAAATTTTAAACTAATGCATGATATCTAATGGGCTAACCGCTAACCATAAAATAAAAGAGTTGAATTGGTTTGACCTATACGGGATTTGGCCATCAAGTAAAACAAATGAACATCATTGGTTTGACATTCTAAAACAAGCTATTTTCTCTGGCATAATATATTATGCTATTATTTTATATCTTAGTGGCTAAAATATAATGTATTTTAAAGTTATTCAATGGTTCAACCTCGACCAACCCAATTAGTCCAATTTTTATCATTTCAAATATATATTATATGATTATTTGATATCATAATGATCAAATCATAGTGTATTTTATAGGAAATCGTTTGGTATTTGTTAGTAAAAAACTAAACAGAAAGATCTATTTGGTTATTTTAAACATTAAAACGATCCTAACATTTTCAGTTCCTTTTGAATTTCTATGGTTTTATTCCCGAATAAGTGATGTGCAAATGGCAGTCATCTCTTTTCTTTCACTATTTTTTATTTTCAAATAAAAAGTTTAAAAGTAAAGAATAATTAGAATTTGGCATGGGTCGGTCAAACAGGCTGCATTTCAAGTTTTGGCCCCTTTTGATCAAGTCTAATTTATAATCACATGGTTCCCTGATACCCCGATAAAAATCTCAATCCAAACCAGTTTGGCAGGTGAGTCCGTGTTTACCACCATTTTCTAGGGATACGACAACGACGGTTCCTATCCCAAATCGTGTTGTTCGTTCTTTATTTCCTTAGATTTTATCATAGCCTGAAAAAAACCAGAAAGCACAATGACGACAAGATGAAAGTTTTATAAACCAAATTAATCGGCCAACAGGCCGAGTAAAAGCTAGCAACGATTGTGAGATGCTCATTTCCCGAAAACCGACGGGATAGGCGATTTTTTATTCGATTTTCTGGAATTCAGTTTCTATAAAACTTACTCCACCTCATCATATTACCAGAAACAATATTGTTTCACAAGGTAACAGGTACTTGATTTTGGTTCATAAGGCCGATTTTTGATTTGTTGCATCATTAATGTCTCTTTCCTGCTAAAATTCACTATTTTTATCACGTGTTTCCCAAAAAAAACTATACAACAATAAGTTATACACTCCATTACATTATCAAATTTCATACCTCACCTTCCTCTAGGGATGAAAACAAAATCCGAACCCACGGGTACCCACCCTACCCAACTCGGTCAACGCGGGTAAAATCCGTGTTGACGGGTTTTGGGCCGGGTTTGGGTTTAAACCCGTTCAATATTCATCGGGTTGGGTTGGGTTTGGGTTTAGGTAAACCCGACCCATGGGTACCCGCCCACACCCATATAATTAATTTTCTCGATATATTTAATATTCTAAACAACTTATCTTATTTATGTTTGTGGAGACATGTCTAATTTTTTCTTTCTAATTGTGTAGAATGAAGTTGATGTTATCGAGTGGAGAGTGAAGAAACTTAATTGAAAGGAAGAAGCTTTCAATTAATCATGTTATTTATGGATAATTTGTTATTTGCTTGAATTTTCTAGAATGGTATTTTATATATGGATAATTTGTATTGAGAGATTGATATTTGACTTTAATTTTGATAGCAACTTGTTATTGTAAATTTTTTAAGACAAAAACCTGTGGGTACCCATGAACCCGCGGATACCCAGGGGGTTGAGTTGGGTTTGAGTTTTTCAAACCCAGTGGATTTTACCCCGAATTTTTTTCACGAATAAACCCATGAATTTGGATTTGAATTTGGCAAAACCCGACCCAACCCGACCCATCGCCATCCTACCTTCCTCCGGCCAAATGGCCGGGGCCCACAATAGTTATGTATGATATGGTGGGAATTACTTGGACCTTAAAAAGTCCAACATAAAACACTATCAACAACAAATATCTTACATTAATACATCGTAATTCGATCACTTGTGCCCTCTTAGAACTATAATCATAATCTTACACATATGGACAAATGCTTACTCATTTAGTCCTTGCTTGACAGCTACTATGAGCATTCTGTCTTTGATTGAGTTCTAGTTATATAAATAGTTGGAGAAATGCTTTTGCGGGTTAATCAACAACCCAACCACACTCATTCGTCATCCAACCAACTGAATTCGAAAAAGAATGTGGGTAGATAATGAATTACAATTATACCAACTCACTTGTAACCCAATGGAAATGTGAATCAATCTTATATCAAAACCCTCCCAACCTGTCCATTGGAATTGTACGCATATGGTAGTTGACCAAAACTCAAAGCCCAATAAGTTAAGGCCCATTACTTCCCCTCATACTTGATTACTAGGTTTGGTTCCGGTCATTTTCACTGCCTTCTTTTGCCAAAGTTCACATTTCGCACCTTAATTTTGGTAGTTTAACCGATACTCTGCAAGACTGCAACTCAGCAACTGTAGCGCCTTCCGTTTGCCGGCGATGCCCGACCCCGAACAATCCTACCCTCCAAAACCCTAAACCCTTTCTTTTTTTTTTCCCCCCCGCCGGCGAAAGAAATGGCTATCCCCACACTTCTCAGCCTCCTGAAATCCCGATCACTGCCTATCCGATTCATCCAACCCGCTCTTTACACCTTCACACCCTCCAAATCAATGTCCCAATCCACCGCGATTCCCAGGAAGCAGGTGCGAGTCCGCGACCACGGCTACGACAACTACATGGAAGTCCAGAAGAAAACCCGGCGGGTCCTGAAATTCCAGTCCTTGATTCTCCCCCATCACAACCAGACCATCCCAGTCTCCCGCCTCGACGGCCTCTCCCGGCGCCTCGGGTTCAAACAGTACGAGGCCGGCGCGTTCATCCTCAAATTCCCCCACATCTTCGAAGTCTACGAGCACCCCGTCCAGCGGATCCTCTACTGCCGCCTGACCCGCAAGGCCCTCCTCCAGATCCTGGAAGAGAAGGAAGCCCTCCTCGCCCAAGTCCCCGACGCCGTGGTCCGATTGAGGAAGCTGCTGATGATGTCGGGTACCCGCCGCCTGCGATTGGAGCACGTCCGGGTCGCCAGGTCAGAATTCGGGTTACCCGATGATTTTGAATACTCTGTAGTTCGTAAGCACCCTGAGTATTTCCGATTGGTTGATGCCAAGGAGACTAGGAACAAGTACATTGAGATTGTGGAGAGGGATCCCAAGTTAGCTGTTTGTGCGATAGAGAGGGTTAGGGAGAGGGAATACAGAACCAGAGGTTTGGATGCTGAGGATTCCAGATTCTCATTTCTCATTGATTTCCCACCAGGGTTCAAGATAGGCAAGTATTACAGGATTGCGGTGTGGAAGTGGCAGAGGGTTCCTTATTGGTCCCCTTACGAGGACATCTCGGGATACGATTTGAGGTCGATCGAGGCTCAGAAGAGGATGGAGAAGAGAGCGGTGGCGACGATTCATGAATTGGTGTCGTTGACGGTGGAAAAGAAGATTACTTTGGAGAGGATCGCGCATTTCAGGATGGCGATGAATCTGCCCAAGAGGTTGAAGGAGTTCTTGCTTCAGCACCAGGGGATATTCTATATCTCGACCAGGGGGAATCAGGGGAAGCTTCATACTGTGTTCCTTAGGGAGGCTTATAAAAGAGGGGAGTTGCTGGAGCCGAATGACTTGTATTTGGCACGGAGGAAGTTGGGAGACCTGGTGTTGATGAGCCCTAGGAAGGCTAGAGTTGATAGGGAGTTAGTCAGTTATAGGAGGGATGGAGACGAGGATGATATGGAACGAGTTGGAAGAGTCTATGCGGAAAATGAGTTCAGAGGTGAGAGTTCTAATGTGTTTGATGGGAAGAATGAAGGGGGTGATTTGGTCTCCGATTTGAGTAGTGATGAGGACGGGGTTTATACAGAGGGTGAAGGAGATGATCCAGAGGATGCTTGTGCAACTGAGTAAAGGTATTTCAACTTGCTGGAGCTAATGTAACGCTTCAGAAGCAGATACCGTTGTGATTCAAGGAGATGTTGAGAGCTGCACAAAAGAGAAATCACAACTGAAGATCTCATGAGAAGGATGTGCATTGCTTAATGAACTCAACAAGACAATCTGATGGGTGGTGCTTTGCACATTTTGTCCTTCGTGGGGTTCTCAGGTATAAACTTCTGATGGCTAGCATTGCTATGAAGTTAGCTCTGGAAATAGCCTATTCAAGTTGAATACTCATAGTTGGGTAGCATCAAGTTCCTGCTTGCTTCTGGCTGGTGGTGGTCGAGGTACGAGCGTCGACAATCACAGATGAATGGTTTCCAGAGTTTAGCGTTAATGGGGTCCACGAGCTCGTCTTTGTTCTGAGTAAAACTGCACAGAGAGGCCTGCTGAGTGCTGATAGTGCTGCTGCTGATATGAGCTGGTTGTTGCTCGCCGAAAGTGTGGTACTTTTGCTTTATAAACCGACAATGGTGTTCACTGTCATCCTAACGGATTGTGCAGACCAGAATGCGTGCAGACCCACATTGAATGTGAAAGAAGAGAGAGCACAGCATATGTCGTTCTGTCGGCGAGCATGACATTGATTTGTTCCCTAAAGGAGACCCACCTTCTATTGTGATGTAAAAGGTTTGTCATTCATGTCAAGCTGTTGGCAATTGTATTTCTGAAACTCCCAAGTTAATACACTAATCTAATTGGAATAAGATATGGTATTGGTAGCTGATGGTTTCTGTTTCGTCAACACACATGGCAGACAAGTTATGATGACTGAGATTTTCATTTCCAGGTCGAGTCCGATTTGGTAGGTGGATTTTTGAGCCCTCGCTTTGATGCCACGGTTGTTATCATTGACATGTTCTGCTCATCATCTTGTTTAGAACGAGGAAATATATTGCCGAGGCCGAACATACCATATGTTTAGAACGAGGAAATAAAAAATATATTGCAGGCAAACATACCATCTGATCTGATCGAGGGCGGTCGAATGAATTATGGAGGCTCTGCTCTAGAATTGAAACGTGATTTGATTTTTCAAGTATAATAAAAGAAAAATAGCCATATTATTTGGTGTAAACAATAATTTGAAATCAAATTATCTATCAGCTCTTTAATTTTTGTATTATATGAAAAATCATTTTCCATAAGCATCATTGTTAATCAATTAAGGATTTCTTGTGTCATTTATAACAAATAAGACTTTCAGAATACGAATAGGACTTTAACGATGAGTATACATGCCTATATATATAATCAATCATAAACCACAAAATCATCATATAATGTAGAATTAAATCAACTAACAGACCTACAGTGAAGGCCACCCTAATATTCAGAGGCTTTATATTGGAGGGTCTCTCGGCACACCCCATTGGTTGGCCTTGATGATCACATATAACTAGGGTCGGTAAGAGTTCAATCCACAAGTAGCCGAAAATCATAATCAAAACCAATGTTTGGATTGAACACGCTGCATAGTTCTATTTGGTTTTGATTTTCAAATTTAAAATCTTTGTTTACTTTGGGTTTACACTGGATTCATAAAAAAAATAAAGAATCAACTCAACCAAATCAAAATCAATTCAATGCTTTCCTGATTCGTCGAGTCTAATCCTCATATCATATGTACATTTTTCTCCATCTAATCTTGATACCAACTTGGTACGATTTCGAATTCGACCGGCTCATGAACACCAGCTACCTAAAGCCAATGAATTCGACCGGCTCCACTAGTCACCTCCATCCTGCCTTTCACGTATTGCTCAGATATTTTCCACATACCTAATTTTGTAGCACCTTTTTTTTTTTTTTTGCCATTAATATTGTGCCTTGAAATGGTTCACTGGGTTGGACCCAGTCTTTACCTACGTCGCCCTAAATGACGAATTACGATGGTGGCTTGCCACCTAATACACATAATTATCAAGTGGAATTCACATGTATTTGTGAAGTGTGAACTGATGCATGGCAGATAAGAAAGGGGGAAAATGGGCCAAAATTTGGCATTTGGTGCCTTTTGACATCAGGAAACGGTGAACTAATATCTGAAACTTTCCACTTTGCTTTAGTTAATTACTATGTTGCTAGCTAGCTAGTGATGATATCGTCAACACCAAATTCTCTAATTAGACTAAGATGTTTGGTGATATATAATACCAATTGGATGGATGTAAGTTGCGTCCACATGCAAATGAATACCACTTGTAACCTATCAACATTGCCCAAGCACGTCATTGATTGTAACGTGGATGATACTATTAATTATTTAATTATTAAGTGATTAATATAAATGGTGATTGTTCTAGTACGTAAGAAAAACATTATTATAGTATTTTTTTTAACAAATACAATATTATCATAGTGTTTATTATAGGGCTGGCAATTCGGTCATTTCGGTTATAAGCCGTAACCGATTGGCCGGTTATCGGTTAACCGAAATAAACACCCCCTTACCAAAAACCGACCGAAATAGGCTTCGGTTACCTCGGTTATCGGTTAACCGAACCACTTTTAAGGCCAAAAACCATTTTGGCCAGCTTCCGATAACCGACCGAAGTTCGGTTACTTCGGTTACCGGTTAGTGGATAACCGGCCATTTATCGGTTTAACCGGTCGGTAAACCGGTAACCGATAACCGAACTGCCACCCCTAGTTTATTACACGCTTTTGAAAGGGAATGATGTATAAAATCCTAATTTGTATAATGTTACCAACTATTGGACCATATCACTATGGTAGCACATTGCACCATCATCATACCGCACCAAACCAATATGGTAAACAGGGTTATCTAGTACTGTATAACCAAAGACTATGCAGTAGAATCCAACACGTTATAGGATGATAATGAGTCGGGTTTCTTCAAACTCAACCTGGTAAATATAATTTGTGTTTTGGAAGAAAAAAATCCAACTAAACACAACATATACCAACAGTGGATGGGCACCAATGGTTCAAGGGTATAACTGCAAATATAACTCGAATAATTCCTCTGAACACTCACATCCCTATGACATAGATATTAAATCCTACAACGATATTCCTCAAAAGGCTAATAACACATATACTCTATCCATATTATTAGGGCTAGCTGCAAAATGACGTGATTTTGTTTTTTTGGGTGAGATAAGGATTTTGCCAAAACTCGCACCCTAATCAACCCTGACAATTTGCAAAGCGGGCAAAACCAGCACCCGACACGAAATCCATCAACATTGGTTTTGCTCGATTTGATCATGTCAGGCAGGATTGGGTACTACGGGTACAAGTTCAACATTCATCCTTACCCGCACTCCTTGTTTTGAAAATTTTGAAACAAAAAAGCAAATATTTTCATTTTACGATGAGAAACTGTTTGTCAAATCTAAAGATAAACTCAGTTTGTGATTGTTAGAGAAAAATTGTAATGACATATAATTCAAAGTACATGATATGTCGGTGTGTATAATAACAACTTCAGGTTGCAGGGCTAACTAAGAATGTACCTTAGTATCCATATTTGCACCATGACTAGATTATCTTGACTTGAAGCATAGGTTTGGAAGGTCGGCCTATTCAAATATGTGCCTCAAAGAAAAAATAACAAGAAGTCAATTATTCCAATTTAAACCGATAAATAATACTTGCTACATAAAGATAAAATATACTAGATTAGACTAGACTGAAATATGACTACAACCTATTACTTGTTTTACTTACAACACAAGTATTATCCATCCAAAATGGATAAAATACATCATGGGTCATTTGGATCTAGGCTTGTAGTGAGTGATTTGTGAGAGATTTTAAAACAATCCCTCATTATGTAGGATTTACAAAAATTATGCGTTTTGAAAGATGAGAGATTCTGAGCATTAGAGATTTCAAAATCTCTCAAATGTAGGTTTTTAAAATAGCTGACGGGAACCAGCTATTTCACAATCTCTCACTTTTTTATTGCAATTTTCCAAAGTCTACCTTCCTCCATTCCGGATTATTTCATATCAGCTTCAATCAATTCTTTAGCTACGTTCCGACTTCTTCTTCTTTCTTTTCTCCGACCAATCTCCTCCTCCCCCCGAAGAAATTCCGCCATAAGAGAAGATAGTCGTAGGTGCTTGTGTGGGTGGAAATTCACATGACCGTGGTCGGTGATCTTGCGAGGACACCTAAGATTTGAAGATGCAGAGTTCACAAGGATATAGGCGACTGGCGAGGGCAAGAAGAGATCGAAGGAGGAGGGTTCTTATTATCGATTAGGGTTGTAGGATTTTGGGTTCTTGTTGGTCGATTTGGAATATGGGAGCTGCAAATCAGAAGAGAAATCGAAACAACTGACCACACTATGTTGAGGCTCTTTTGTACATAGTTTATTTCCTGAGGACTATTTCTGTTATTTTCCTAGGTCTTAAACCCTAGCCTCACGTTGCACGGTGATGAAGCTAGCTAGACCATATATATTTGTTCCCTGTATGCGCCGCAGACCAAGAGCTGTGAACATAAGAAATAATTTTCATCTCTGAGAGCGTAGAGCTCTCCGTGGACTAGTCCCGTTCGGTTATGAACGGGGAAACCACGTAAATCCTCGTGTTCTTTCGTTTCCGCAATCATCGTATTTTACATGGTATCAGAGCTGTGAGTGGATTCACAGGTTTTTCTTCATCATGAGTGGTACTTCGGCAGATGATTCACAATCGCCTTCCCCTCTCTATCTCCATCGATCGGACAATCCCAGTCAATTGTTTGTTGGGGAATTACTTACCGACGTTAATTATGGTGAATGGATTGGGGACATCACCGATTGTCTTCTTGCTAAAAACAAGCTCGTTTTTGTTGATGGGAGCTTTCCTATTCCCGCGTCGGGTGCTGATCGGGACGCCTGGAAACGCTGTGATGCAATGGTGAAGGGGTGGTTGAAAACCGCCATGTCTAAGGAAGTTCGTAGTAGTGTCCGGTTCGCCTCGACGTGCAGAGAAATATGGCTGGACATTCAAGCTCGATTTGGTCAGGGTAGCGCCTCTAGGCTCTACGAATTGCGGCGAAATATTGGCCTTCTCCAGCAGAAGAAATCTTCAGTCTCAGCCTTCTACACTAAATTGCGGGGGTTTTGGGACGAAATTCACTCCTTGGCTCCGTCCTTGGAGTGCTCTTGTAATGGCTGTACGTGCGACGTAAAACAGCGGCAGCGGTCAGTCAAAGAGAGTGAGCAACTCTTTGATTTTTTGATGGGCCTAGATGATGCCTTTTCTACCGTGAAATCTCAAATTCTTGCGATGAAGCCAACTCCGACATTAGCTGAGGCTTATCGCATGGTTACTAATGATGAGCAGCAGCGAAATATTGCGCATAGTAGGCGTCCCAAATCCGAGGCAGCTGCGTTCCAGATTCAGGGGGAGCGCCGATCTGATCGGGGTTCTCAAACGGGCGAGCGTGATGCGGATGGAAAGCCGAGATGCTCGCATTGCAACAAGGTTGGTCATTTTAAAGAAACATGTTACAAACTTATTGGTTTTCCTCCTCGTGATGACAGCAAGGGGGAGAGTCCTTGGAGGCGCAATGATCGGGGTGTAAAATCCAATCCTCAGGCGGCTCAGGTAGAGGCGGGGGACAGTCCCATTCCGGGCCTTACTGCCGCCCAGTTTGCCCAGCTGAAGAGCTTTTTAGCTGCTGACCAGAAATCGCCCACCGCCTCATTCGATCCTACTTCAAATATGGCGGGTACGT